TATTTTCCGCAGGCTGGATTCCCTGGATATTTTCTGACAATACCTCATTTGGTCCTACTGCATGGGGCCTATCAGCATCCTCCTTTTTATTAGTACGAGTCCTCCCCTATCTGTTCTGTGTTTGTAAAATCTGACACCTCACATTTTTCCTAGTACCCAGCTAGTATCGTCAAAGTTTGTTATATATATAGAACCTTGCAAACTTTTTATTTCCATCGAAGGTTCCTGTATACCCTATACCATGCCCTCGCCACCTGTAACGGGGATCTGCTTGTTGGTTACAACCTTGCGGCCCATATCCCACTTGTAAAATTTTATCCCAACCAGCCCTGAGTGTTCAGTCTGTAGCAACGGTTTCACACCCCCGGTATGCACAGTAATACACGTTCGGGTAAATACAGTACCCCTTTCCTGGGTTAGAACTTGGGCAGAAATAAAATCCTGATCAGTTAAAGCATGGCTGCACTGACACCAGGTCACATAATGTGATGCAGAAACTGGGAGCACCCGCTGTCGTTGTTTGCTGGATGATGAATTAATTCTCCCATCTGATCAAGCTCCACTTAAAAGGCTGATGGGGATGCGCAGACCCATAGCTGACCAAAGCGATGATACTGACTCCCATGTATCGTAGGAGGTGGTCAGAGCCCATCTAAATTGTCGGCCCCTCAGTCCCCCACCGTTTTCACTTCTCTGCCTCGCTTGTCAGTTCGGTTGCAGCGAACTACAAGGTATCGGTTCTTCTTGGCAGCAGCAGTGTTCTTCAGGGGAACCTACTAGGGAGCCTTTGAAACAGGGCCTCCTCCCCTTCCCACGATACACAAATAATATAAAATACTTATCGAGTCCGTCTTAGTGTCAGCTTCAAGTCGTCAGGGCCTGGAGCTGCCTCCCATTTACCTTCCCAGATTGGGCCTTTCACACGGCTGGCATGCGTCCATCCTTTCTCCGCAGTTCGAACAGCCGTTTCTGTGGTAAGCAAAACAGCATAGGGGCCTTCCCCATCGTGGTGTTAAAGCAGTCTCTTTCCAAGTCTTAATTAGAATTGAGGGTGATCAAGTGGCAATTCCAACTCATAGGGCATACCATATAGCATTTCAAAAGGAGAAATTCCTACATTAGTTCTGGGCTGTGCCCATATGTTTAACAGTGCAAGAGGTAAGCATTTTACCCAAGAAGCCTTAGTTTCCAGCACAAGTTTTGTTAGTTGTTTCTTCATTTCACCATTCATTCGCTCTACCTTTCCAGAAGAGGAGGGGTGCCAGGGGCTGTGAAAATCCCACTCAATCTCTAAGGCCTGCTTTAATCCTTGCAGTAAAGCTTTACACCCATTCAGTCACGTGGTCAATTAGGACAAACAAGTAAGTCAGTAAAGTCTACCTGTATACTTTGGAAAGGTCTAAGCCCTGGCTCCCGTCCCCGTCTAGATAGGTTACAGAAGACCTTTTTATTTACCCTTTGACATATAGTAGTACATCCTCTGCATGTGTGCTTCCCTAAAGTATATATTCCTACACAGACGGCCAGAGAGCACTCCATTAATAACACTGTTATTCCAGTCTAACAATTTACTATTTGAATGCCCAATTTAATCATCAAATCCCTTCCCAACAAGTTAGTCCCTGCCTTGGATACATACAATAATTGCCCAGTGATCATTTTATCCCCTGGTCTCAGCTTGGTATTCCCCAAAAGTGGCACTGTTATCCCACTCCCTTCTACCCCCATCATAGTTAGGATTTCATTAGTTAAATTAATCCCTGATACTTTACAAGTCAGTAATGACTTAGCTGCCCCAGTGTATTGGGTTTGATGGCAAGGTTCGGGGGGTGTGAGGGGTGTGGGGGTGGGAAACTGCAATGGCAGCCCCCGTGAAGAAAAAAAAACACACAGAAACCTCCCCGTGGTTGATAAGGGACAATTTCATCTGGCCCTAAAGGGGCCCACTGCTGCCCAGAGCCTAGCCATAGCAACACAGTCCGTGACTCTGTGAGAGCACATCCACGAAAACAAACAAACAAAGAAACAAACAAAAACCTGCTGCTCAACAGCAGTTGGAAGAGCGAGAAACCCCCCCCACAGACACCAAAGTCAGTGCAGAAGGAGGGGGAGGAGGCGCTCCAGGCGCTGGAGCCGAAGCCCCCCTGTGGCCGCTGGAGAGGCCCCTGGTGGAGCAGGCTGTTCCCCCCTCCCCGATGCTTGGGAAACTGAACAAACACCACAGCAAATATGCAAATATACCAGAACTTCTAGACTGTTACTTAGATAATGCCTACATCACCTTTCCCTGCTCATTCAACTTCGAATACCTTTAACACCTTCAACAAGCCTTTTAACACTTCCTTTATCTTTCTCTAGCCTTTACTTTTCTAATGCCAACATCAAAGGCTCAGTCAGGGGCCAACTTAATTCTGTACCTTTTCCCTCCAAGATGCTGAAACAACATCAATATACAACATTTCATCCTGTTTTCCTTCTTTCCACAAAAACAACAGTGACTGTAATATGGTGTTATAATTAGTAGTTCCATTTAGGGGCCACTCTGCTCCATCCTCTAGTTTATAAAGTGGCCACCACTGATTACAATATTTGATAAGGGTTCTTTTACTCTCTGGACCCTCTCACCCCACTATATCCCTCCAATGTGTTAGTATACATCCTAGGGGGCTTTTCCTCGGGGTTTCTTTGCTTTGAACTTTTCCTATAGTAATCTACAGTGGTTAATATTCCACCGTTTTCCTAGAAGCTCTTTACTAGTCAATCCCAATCCCCCCAAAATCCACAATATATAAATACACAAGTAAAATCAGACCACTGTAAATTAACTGCCTGTAGACAATTACACTGGGAACATTTAAACCTGATGAGCCGATAATATGCCTGGGCAAATTTTGTTCCCTTAGACATACACCTCAATGGCAGTTCTTATAGTTACATCTTTACATATTAACATATGTGTAAAAGAACACTTTAACAAAAATGCCCGGGCTTTTATATATACAATATACAATGTGCAGTTATTATTCCAGTTAGAATTATTCCTCAGCAGCTGCAAACATTATGCCAGTTGCCACTAAAGCTCGCTTACCCTCCTCCAGCCAAAACTTCCCCTGCCTCAGCTTAACACCTTTCCCACGGGTCCTATCACTGGTGATTACGGAGAATAGGTCACCAGCCTCTCCACTCCCCCTCGCAAGGAAGTTGTAGACTGCGATGAGGTCCCCCCTCAACCTCCTCTTCTCCAGGCTGAACAGGCCCAGCGCCCTCAGCCGCTCCTCATATGTCTTCCCCTCTAGGCCTTTCCACCCTCATCCAAGTCCACAACTCCTCCAAGTTTGGTGTCGTCGGCAAATTTGCTCAAAACACCTTCTCGTCCTACATCCAAATCATTTATAAAAACTTTGAAGAGGACTGGCCCTAGAATGGAGCCTTGAGGGACCCCACTAGTGACCATCCGCCAGCCAGATGTGGCCCCATTTACCACAACCCTTTGAGCCCTGCCCGTCAGCCAGTTGCTCACCCATCGTATGATGCTTTTGTTAAGTTGTATGCTGGGCATTTTGTCCAGTAGGATCCTACGGGAAACCGTGTCAAAAGCTTTGCTGAACTCCAAAAAGATCACATCAGCTGGTTTCCCTTGATCAACTAGATGGGTGACTTTATCATAAAAGGATATCAAATTTGTTAGGCAGCACCTACCCCTCATGAACCCATGGTGGCTGGGACCAATGACTGCATTGTCCCCCAGGTGCGCTTCAATAACTTCAAGGATCATCTTCTCCATAATTTTACCAGGCACTGACGTGAGACTGACAGGCCTGTAATTGCTAGGGTCTTCTTTCTTATTACACTTCTTGAAAATTGGCACGACATTTGCCAGCTTCCAGTGTACTGGGACCTCTCCAGATTCCCAAGTGCGTTGAGAAATAATTGAGAGAGGTCCTGCAATGACGTCAGCCAGCTCTTTAAGCACCCTGGGATGAATCCAATCCGGACCCATGGAGTTGCACGGATCCATGTGGAGCACTAAATCCCGCACATGTTCAGGGGCGGTTGGGTGCCCAGCTCAGGGCACCCTGGGTCCCAAAGCCCATCATCGATGTTGAAGATGGAGGCGAAGAAGGCATTAAACGCGTCTGCTTTGCCTATGTCATTGTCTGTGAGGAGACCTTCCCCAACAAGTAGCTTGTTTTCTTTGGTTCTCCTTTTTTGATGGATACCCATCAATGCTTTCTTTGGTTCTCCTTTTTCTATTCACATATCTAAAAAAAACTTTTTTATTGTCTCCCAGAGACATGGCCAGCTTCAACTCTAGTTGGGCTTTGGCCACACGAATTTTCTCCCTACAAACCGCAATAGCATCCCTGTATTCCTTCCTCGTCGCCTGACCCTCCTTCCAGCAGCCGTACACTTTCTTTTTTCACCTAAGCTCCAGTAGAAGATCCCTGGTCAGCCAGGCCGGCCTTCTGCCCCGCCTGCCTGACTTGCGATATTTTGGAATTGCCTGATCTTGTGCTTTTAGGAGGCAGTGCTTAAAGAATGACCAGCACTGATGGATGCCAATGCCTTCAAAAGCAGCTTCCCAGGGGACCTTGCTGACTACTTCCCTGAGCAGCCTGAAGTCTGCTTTCCCCATATCTAGGGCCGAAGTTTGGTGGCAGTTTTCCTTCTGTAACCATGAATTTTAAACCTTATCACTTCATAGTCACCACTTGGCCACCAATGGCCACCACCCTGAAACCTTTCCCACAGAGACATGACAAAGGCTCCGGAGCATGTCTGAGGGAATCGCTTTTTCAGAAGGCTCAGCGCCTGCCTGGTCGTTTTCTTGGCCAGCCCCACGCATCCTAGATTATAGCAGACCTGCACAGGAAGAGGAAGCCATGCAGACATGGACCGCTTTCCCAAGCCTCTCCTCCTGCAGAGGCTGCAGAAACGTACAGGGGGCTGGCCATAGCAGGGACACCCCCTGCAAGAAGGGCATCACCCTGCCGCTTTACCTCCGCTTTGAGGCTGAAGAAGGTCGCCTTCTCAAAGCAGTCTAACACAGTTGCTGTCTTCCCCATGGAGTTCCTCAGGACCTCTGCTTCGCTGAGCTTCATAAGGGCCTTTGAGCAAGCACACAGGCAGCAGGTGAGCATCGGTGCAGAGCCCCCAGCTAGCTCCACCCTTCCCTCTTGCCTCCTGTGGCACCTGCCTTAGGAGGGCCCGCATCTCCCCATGTGATCCCTGCCCTAGCACAGTGCCCCGTGGGCTCAGAGCTCAGGCACTAAGGGAGCCTTCAGACTGCCTCCCAGGTAACGCAGCTTGTGCTGATGGGCCTGCTTCAGTGCCCCGCGTCTCTTGCTGTGGGAGAGGCAAAGCGCAGGAAACAGTCCGGCTCTGCCCCCACTGTTTCTTTTGGGAGGCCCCTCAGCGGGCATGTCCTGTTGCAGTGGACTCCAGGTGCAGTGCATGCTGGCAAGCAAGGTCACTCACCATGTAGCTGTTGGAGACGTGCAGGTAGGCAGCCGCACACTCCAGCAGGTAGTAGAAGGCTCGGGAAGCATTGCCTGTTGCCACATAGTGGCGAGCCAAAGGCACAAGCACTGATTCAATGACGGCTTCGCATTTGCAGGAACGCTTGCCACCGTCCTTCTCTTTGGTCCTGCTGGGCTGCGCAGTTGTCCATTTGCCCTCTGGTGGAAACCGCTCTGACGCTCTGGTCAGAGGCAGGTTGCCAGGAAAAGAAGAGAGCAAAGAGCAGATGAGCATCACCTGAGATGACCCTGCTCTCCCTACGGGTAGCGACAAAACCCTATTTCCTGCTGTCTCATCCCAGCTCCCACCCCACAGCCAGCCTCCTCCTCCCAAAGCTGGAGTCCCAGCCAGCAGCCAAATGGCAGAGCTCCATCTGTCTCCTCTGGAGCTCGCTCGTTTCCACAATCATTAGAACCTTGTCTCCTCACCTGAACTCCTCCTCCGAGAAAGCCTGCTGCGGCTGCAGGGCATTTGCACTACCTGGGAAGAGGAGAGCGTGTCAATGGACTCCCCACGTAGCCCGGGCTAAGAGCTGCAGGCTTGCAAGGGTCCTGCCGAGCAGACCCAGGGCACAAGAGCTGCGGTGATCGTCCTCGTCCCCTGGCTTATCCCTGGTGCTGGGGACCCGGTGGGCCCCAGCCTGCATGGGCCTGGACTTCCAGAAGGAGGGGGCTCCGCAGCAGGGCACACAGCCTACCTTCAGGGATGTGAGTCCTGTCCTTCTTCAGCTGTTCTCCAGCGAGCACCAAGGCCTCCCAGCTGTGCCAGTCATCCTCGTCAGCAGAGCCCTGGCAGTTTTCCCCGTCCTGGGGACGGCGAAGCGGTGGAAGGCCACAAAGTCCCCTCCGTGGCAGCTCCGGCATTTGTGCGCGTGCTTCTCCAGGAAGGCAGCACACTTGCGCTGCGTGCTGGCCCTCTGTCTCTTGGGCCACAGCTCGTAGGCTGCCTCCTGCAGCAGTGGGGCACAAAAGGCCAGAACGCCAGCCTGCTGCTCCGTGGTCTCCTTGCTTGTAGACGGCCTCTCCACCCCTGCAAGGCAATGGATGGTGGCCTCAGCCAGAGTGGTAGAGACATTCCCAACAGCCGCTGGGAATTTCCCTCTGCACAAAGCTGGTGGGGGAAGGCCTCCTTCAGCTACAGCGCTCCTGGGTCTACCTTACTGCCACCACTTACCGCTCCCTGCCTGCTGAGAGGTGGCCGGCCCCTCTCGAGCATCTTGGATGTCTCTGGGCACCCCTGTGTCCTTCAGCCACTTAAGGATGTTGTCGCTCACCAGCCCGTCCAACCAATAATTCATGTGCTGCCTGGTACAAGTGGGAAGGATGTGAGCCAGCAGCTGGGTGGTAAACACTGGCCCTATGATGGCTGCAAACTTCAAAACCATCTGCTTCTGCAGCGTGATCCGGTCCAGCTCAGCCAGTGCAATCTCTGTCAAGAAGAAGCAAAACGTCTCTCTCTTTTGTGTCCTGGAGCCTGAGCTTGGAGAGGCTGGACAGTTCCATCACAGGAAACAGGATAGACTTTGGCCTCTCTTCCTCAAGATGGCACCTGCTGGGCAATTGGAGCCCAGGGAAATGTCTTCAAGATGGCTCCACTCCTCTTGCAACCACAGGCCACAAGGTCCAGGGATAAGAGCTCCTCCACCAAGGATGGGGAGGGCACGATCCTGCGGGTACATGCGACCCGTGATGTGACCTGCCAGAGCTGAACTAGGCTGATGCCCAGCAGCGCACACAGAGAGCAGAGAGCGCTTTCAGCACCTCAGAGCTGGACTTGGAGCTCCCCACAACTGCTGTGGGCCTCACAGCTGGCCCACAGCCCGGAGGGGGACATCTGTGCCCTTAAGCACAGGGCTCTGTCTGTTCAGACCAGAGTCGCTTTCCTGGCAGGGCCCCCCAGGCTGAGAGGGTGCTTCTGCAGCATGCCGATGCCCATCCCCTCTCTCACGTGCACGCCAGGAAAGGACCCCAGCACAGCCGCGAACTCAGCCCCTCACCTTTCAAGGCGGCCGGCAGCACAGTGTTCTCCAGGCTGACGTCTGCTCTGATGGTGCAGACCCTGCCACTGTTATTCCCAGCACTGGAGCTTGAGGTGGCTGAGACAATGAGTGAAGTCTCGACTGCAGAAGCTGGGAAGAGAGAGAGAGAGCATGAACAAGGTGGGGCAAGTCCAACCTGTCACGGTTGGGTGCACTTCATGGCCCGCACCGAATGCGGTCAGTGAGCAGGGCAAACCGGTTTCCACTGCAATGGTTTTGTCTGCATTGCCCTTGCAACTCTTTTTCTGCCTTCGGACCTGCTGCCCAGCTGTACTGACTGAATATCCCGCAACAGAACACAGCGGTTGCTACCTTTGACAGCGCTCCCTCCCACAGCCAGGGAAATTGCCAGTGATAATCCAAAAGGCAAAGCCCGTGCAGGCTGTCCCCAGGGCAACAGCACTCTGCTTGGCATTGCTCTTACAATTACTGCTCTTGCGTTACTGCCAAGCTCCTCAGTTCCCAGCGCCTTTGCGGGCATTTCTGGTTTTGGATTACACTTTCCCAGGTCTGACCCTCTCCTGCAGAAGGGCTTTCTTTTCGAGGGAGCTGGTGGCTTGCCGAGGTGACAGCAAGGTGTGCAGGAGCCCACACCTCAGCCAGATCAAGTTCTGTCCTGCTGCCAGATCGGACTCTGCCCAGAGTCACTGGAAAGCCACAGGACACGGTCGTGTGTGTGTGTGTGTGTGGGGGGGGGGGGGGGTGACGTGCAACAGCATCTAGCCAGTCCGCAACAAGAGTGCTTACCGATCAAGCCCTCCCAGTTGTCCTCTACTTTTTTGTCCTGCCTCCCAGTGCTGAACAAGAGCATGTTGTTGCGACGCAGGCAGTGCAGCAGTTCCTCACAGTAATATGGGATGCCAGAGCTTCTTTGGATCAGGAACCTAGGCAGGATGTCGTGTTAAAGGGGTGTAGCTGATTAACCGTTACGGGCCCGGTTGGATTCAGAGTACTGAACCAGTCGGACATTCACCAAAACTGGGGGTCCGTTCGGACATTCACCAAAAACGTAATAACCGCCTGGGGGTCCACTCAGACATTCACCAAAAACGTATTAACCACCTGGGGGGTCCGTTCAGACATTCACCAAAAATGCATTAACCGTCTGGGGGTCTGGTTAGATTCAGAACACTGAACTATCACGGATAACCACCCTCACCCTAGTTGCATTAATGAGAGCTATCACAATGCAATCAAGTATGGTTTATTACAGCAACAGATAATCAGGTTCTTTTGGATTGCCGGTGATAGTGACTATCTGCAAAAGCAAGCTAGTTTGCATGAAATACACAGGTGTTATAGGTGTTACAGATGTTATACAGGTGTTGTAGGTGTTACAGATGTTACAGATGTTATAGATGTTATAGATGTTATAAGTGTTACAGATGTTATAGGTGTTACAGGTGCGCAGCCTAGAAATAAACACGTTAAAAGGATCAAAGACTCTATAGAGATTTATAAGCAAATATTCAGATCTCACCCAAAGGCGTCCCAATGGGGGGGGAAGAGAGGCTCAGCCCGTCGACTGATCCCAGGAGTCAGGAGGTCCTAAGGATGCTGTATGTCCTCGGGATGGTATCTCCCCTGACGATGGTATCTTCCCTAACATCCCCTCTCTCTTGGGCCAATTTATATTATTTTCTATCTTTTAGGTGGAGCTTGAGTGGCTCTAGTCAAGCATATCTTAGTTATGATTGGTGTAAAGTTTTCCCGTCTCCGTTTAAAGTAATAGGCTCCGAGAAATTCAGAGCGCATGCTCAGTGAGGGGTGGTCGCACCTTGGAGGCGGGTAGCTTTTGGGATGGAGGTGTGTTTTGGTATTATAATGATATTATAATGAGCAAAAAGTACACTAGGGTACAGCATTTGTCAAAACATGACAGGTCTTTGGCTTAGGGTGGCAAAAAGTGCAGCTTTGTGCACAAGAACAATCGAGGCCCCACCTGATTACAGAGCGTAGCCGTGGTGTCTCCACTCCACCCTACGCTCCGTGGTGTTCCTTAGAGCTAGCACACCAAGTTTCCCCAGCGCGATAGCATCTAAGGTTGGGAGCCTAGGGAATGCTCAGATAATGCAGTTATGCCCTACCCTGAAAGCCTCTTCAATGCTGTACCTTTTCCTTAAAAGTGTGAATGTTAGTTTTATTTTCCTAGTTACTTCAGGCATTTACACCACACAGGAGCAGACCCAGCAGTGACCAACACCAGGGAAGTATGATGCAACACAGTTCTGATGGGCGAGTGGCGAGTCACTCAGGCCTCACAGGGTAACCAGCCTCTTTGTCACAGCTACGGCTCACTTCAGAAGGGGGCGGTCCTCCCACTGGCTTGGGCGTTTGGGACCCCTGACCCTACACTGTTTGCTGGAGTCTGTGGGGAAATGGTCGTGGGCAATGTCCAAAGCACAACACAGCAAGCCTGATCTTCCCTGTCCTCAGGAGCCCAGATCTGCTCTGGCAGCTGGCTGGACCCCCTGCTCCTGGGAATCCCTACTGCAGCCTGGCTACATTGGTCAAAGCCTTTTTGACACCTCAGCCACACTGAGGCTTGGGTACCCATCTCCCTCTGCTCTCCTCTCTCCTCTTCTCTCCCTTTTCCTCCCTGCCTTGCCCTCCCTCCTCTGCAACAGCAAAGGGCTGTCACTGCCCACGTGCTGCGTCCTGGGAGCTGCCTATTCTTAGCTCACACCTGCTGTGGTGGTTCTTAATGAGAAACCCAGGTCCTTGCTGGAGTCAAGGATGCTGCCAGAAGGCCCTGTGCTTCCTTTCCTGCGGGGCGACTTCCTTCTGTGGCAGCATAGGTCCAACCCCTCCGGAAGAGCTCCGTGGCCTGCAACATACCTTGCTAGATCCCTGGGGATGCTGACCACTCCAAGGTCCTGGCAGACTTTCTGCACCACAGCTGCAGGTTTCAGCTCTTCCAGATGAAGACAGCTGATTCTCTGGGATGTTGTGCTGTCTGCTGCAGCTTTGAAAAAGCTCTCCGTTCTCTCGTGGCCAGGAGCTAAGCTCATCACCATAAAGAGCGTGACGCTTTGGAGCACGGGCCACATGACAGTCCAGGAGGCAGGGTCGATGAAGTGGGCGTTGTCGATGACAAATATGCCAAATTCTCCTCCAAGGGTCTGAAAAAAGCAGATGGTTCTGCGTGGAGTCTGGCGGATTCTCAAGCATCCTCTAGGGGAGGAGATGTAGCCTCTCTCCGGAGATGGAGAATACTCAGAAGTCTCTCCCCAGCCGCTTCCCTCTTCAGAAGCTTACTGGCTTTTCATTTCCGCGAGACTTTAAGGCCTCCTCGAATATCACTTGCCCTTCTGAAGAAGGGAGCTTGGGCAAAGGAATGCAGAAGGCGTCAATCCTCCTCCAGGGCACATAGCCTCCAACTTAACAGGAGGCGAGCTACGACGAGGCATATGGGGAGGGCGTGAGAGGGGCTTCTGGGAGGAGGGGCTCCTGGGCCCCGAAGGGCGGTGACCCTGGCACATCGTCCTGCTGCCCACTCAGGCTGTTCTGATGTGGAGCCTGCAGCGGGCAGGGTTGTTTTCTTTCCCTGACCCAGGCAGAAGGAGGAACGCTCACCTTCTGTAGCACTTTCCTACAAGTCTTCTGCAGCTCCCTTTTCATTTGAAGGTCACGCATCTGGCGAACCTGGTCTGAGATGGCAAACTGGACAGGAAAGCAGAGTCAGAAAGAAACATCATCCTGGGACCAGGCATGCCTATCCACCAAGCTAGATGGCAGAGCAAAGCGCCTCTGCTTTTGCATGAGGTCAGCGCAAGCCTCTCTTCACTGGCCTTTCCAGGGTGCTGACCAAGACACCTGGCACATGCACAGGACATGAAGTCACCACAGACAAGGAGCCTCCCTGGACCCAGGAATCAGAACGGGGTGCTATGAGCACTGCAACTCCCAGCCCAGCAGAACACCCAAACAACCACCAGACTACCTCAGGAGGCCTCCCTCTCGCTCTCACCTTGACGAGGAAAATGTTGTTGAGGAGGCAGTATCTGCTCTCTTCTATCACCCCTTGGAGCTTGGCCTGCAGGGTGCGCTGCCAGTCCTCGCATGTTTCACCTGCCTGCAGTCCCAGGGCCCTGGCCACCAGCATACGGATGGCAGAGAAGGGCTGCCTCATGTTGGCCTCGGTCAGTTCCATGGTGACAACCCTGCGGTGCAAAAGCAAAAGGCACTTGAGCTGCAGAAAAGGCCCCCAGTAGCCCACGCCTGCCAAGACAGGAGAGTTAGAGACGCACGCTGCCTGGTTCTTACTGCAAAGGAACACAGGGTGCACAGTCCCGGGGGTGGGGGCGGAGGGCCAGGCACAGGGCAGAGGCATCGCAGTCTTCCACGAACGTCAGGGGACGGGCATGGGAAGGGTCTCAAAAAACCCACTTACCTGTGCCCAGCGGCCTGGCCCAGAAAGGCCAGCTCAGTAAGTAAGCGGCTCTTTACAGAGCCCAGAATGCCTGCGTACGCCAGGATGCGCGGCTGTCCCAAAGTCTCGTAGGCCTTCAAGCTGCGTTCAAAGAGGTCAATCTCCACCTCCCGACCTGTGAAGACCAACCAGGAAACAAGCTGTTGCAGCATGCTGAAAAGCAGGGCAGCATTCCCTTTTGCTGGCACGGCGGCTTCCCTCCACCACGTCAGCAAGCCTGCCTACACCCAGGCCTCCTTCCAAGCCCCTCAGCTCAGCTTTGGCACCACTGCCTTCCTTAGAGCTCTAACAGAGCCGCCTGCCCACTGGCCACACGGCGCAGCTTGTAGGAGCTCTTTCCCCTCCGCTTCTCCTCCCACAGGCAACGAGATTCAGCCAGCTGGACGCAGCTCCCCACACTGATCCAGCCCAAGACTGGAGGGCACACCTGGAGACACTGCAGGCAGCTGCGCCCAAAAGGCATGCCAAACATCTCACTGCACCCTGAGCCCCAGAGCTCTTGCCAGCACCCTGTAGCTAAGGTGGTGTCTTTGGGCCTGTTGTGGTTTTGGCTGCGATACAGCTCCTTGTCTTCACAGGAGCTTGGAGTGTGCTGTGATGTGGTGGACTTGCCACCAAAGGAACGCCAAGAACACACTGAACTCTTGCCGAGCAGTGCTGGCACAGTGTCAAGGCCTCTGCAGTTTCTCATGCTGCGCCACTAGCCAGCAGGCTAGAGGAGGGAGGAAGGGAGGGAGGGGGCTGTGTGGGGCTCAGCTGCCTACCGGGGTTAACCTCCAGCAAGGCACACCGCTTTGGGCAAAGGGAAGCAGCTGGGGTTCTGAAGAGCGAGGACTTCTCTACCTACCCAGCAAGGGGCCACAGTCCGACCTCCTCTTGGTACGATCCGTGTCAAAGATGCTAGAAGCGGGAGAAGACAAAACATGAGTTTCACTTAGTTGGTCAGAAGCCAGGGAATATAGAGCCTGCTGTGTTAGGGGAGGAGACCCTCCGCAGGTAACTGCTTTTCTTTCCAGCAGCATGCTGTCCGGAGCATGCTCCCAGGCCAACATTTGAGTGGACATGCCAGGACAGCTTCAAGCACAAAGAAGGCCAGCAGCCATGGCGGGACAGCAGAAGGTGTTGGGAGTCCCTTGCCAGAGGTCAAAACCAAAGAAAGCCCAGATGGGGCAAAGAAGCCAGGGTGTGCTGTTGGCTAGGTAGACTGCTTTGCCACCCTGGACAAGCAAAAGAAGCCTCTTGGAAAGGAGGACCTATGTCACTTAGTGGCTCAGGACAACAAGCACCTGGCACCTTTGGCTCAAGTCTTTTGATAGCTTTCAAGAGACAGCAACGTTAACATCCAAAAGGTCCTCCAACCCTGGCCCGGAGGGACAGCTGAGAACTGAACAGGCAGACAGGAGGAAGAGTGGCCCAGTGGCCCACCTTTCCCCAAGGCGACATGACTGACCCAAAGCTTCCTGCCCAGAAGGAGCTGGGAAAAAAAATCCTCCCTGCAACAGAATGACCTCTGCCTTAGCCTTGCACATAGTGAAGCAAACACAGGGCAGGGAACCCAGCGGAAAGCCGCTTGGAAAAAGCCTGCATGGCTAGCGTGCGTCTCCAAAGCCAGGACAACCTTCCGCACCCCACTGGCGTCACTCACAGCTCTCTTAGCAGCAGGAGACACAAGGGCAGAAGGGCACAAAGCAGACCCATGCCAGGCCTTTGGATCTTCTTGGCCACAGGGAAGGGATTTCTGTGGGAGGCCAGGCTGGTCTCTTGCTGCACAGCTCCTCTTTACCGGTCAAGGTTGCACCCTTGGCTTCCCTTGTGGCCCCATCCAGATGGCTCGGAAGACACTCACCACTTGTCAGTGATCCCCACATATTGATAGACAGGGCCGGGATCTGTAACACCTTTCAACGCTGTCTTCGGCAACTCCTTGAAGAGGTAACTGGGCAGGCAAGAAGCCTTGTAGGTGTCTTCATCACAGGACACCAGCCTGGGGTAGTGCACCATCAAGCGGGCACCCAAATTCGCCTTATGGCCAATCACTGCCATGGAGAGAGAACACATTGACATGGTTAGGAAAGCAGCCTTGCCCCACCCTTCAAGGCCAAGGGCTACTTCCCCTTGTTGTCCATAGGTGCATGCCTAGTGCACTGCACCAATGAGCACACAAAGCGAAGATCTTTTAATTAAGTAATTCATTATATAAATATATATATATATTATATAATAAAATAATTTATTATATAACTCTGCAGAGTCAGGTGCTTGGCGATCTTCCGCAAAGCCAGCACACCTCTGACTTAAATCACTGTTACTTATACACAGCAAACTTGTGAAAGTTATCTCTTTGGGTACTTTTGATTGGCTATTACAGCTCACCTAACTTATGTCTCCTGAGTTTGCACATTACAGAGAAAGAGTGGGGGCTGGGGAAGCAGGGACACACCAAATCCCACATTAGCATACGTTAGCATTTTGATGGGTACGATTTTTAATACGTTTACGACCCTTAATGAGCAAAAGGTTACTACAGATTAGTCTGGAGCTGTTGTTCTCCTCCTTGTTTTCACCTTTTGTCCCTTATCTCCCTTGCTTCTGCTAGCTCAAGGCTACCTGTCTCTCTGTTCCCTTATTCTCTCACCTAAAAGACTATACAAGCTATAGAAATACTACACAAGCTACAGGCCTCTCTATATTCTTCAAGGTTTCCTTGTTTCTTTCCCAGCTTTGGGACTACACCCTCAGGCACAGGTCAACCCCGCAGCAGGGCAAGCGGACCCAGCGGGAACCGCAAGTCTCTGAGGCCATTCTCCCACCTCAGGTGGAGACCCATCACATCTGGGCCGCTCTCGGCAGGCTGTAGCATATGTGCTTGCCCCAGCCTTCCCATCTCTTCATGACTGACATGCTTAAGCACACCCACGCCAGCCTCCCACTCTTCAGACTAAGGTGCGGTACCTGTATGTTCAGCCCTCTCCGGATGGCCACAGAGGCCGCAGAACATCGTCCCGCTGGTGACCCCAATAGACATTGCCCTGGCACACAGGGAGAGAAGCGCAAATTCAGTGGTGCCCCAGGCGCAGTCCTGCTCGCCCCGCTCTGCCACTTCCCACGTCTCCCCTTGGCACCAACCAGGGGCACCACAGCCGGTGCGTGCCTTGGGGACTTGGAGAGCTCAGGGCACCACACAGCCCACCCACAAGGGACGTGGGGAGGGTGCACGCAAGATGGCTTGGACCCTTCCCCTGAGGCCCAATGGCTGCGACCTGCAGCAGGCCACAGCCCCTCTCACTAGTGGAGGAAAGCAAGTGTTACCCACAGAGCACCTACAATGCCAGCGACTTTGAGATTAGGCCCGAGCCCTGTTCCTGGCAGGCTCTGCTTGGAGGGACTGCGCCTGGCTGCCGTGAGCTAAGCCCAGGGGCCACCTGCTTCTTCTCAGGGTGCTGCCTCAGTCCTGCCAGGGACAAAGGAGGCCAAGCCAGGAGGCCACGTCTCTTGCTGGTCAGCCCCCTTGTGCTGTCCCAGGCAGCACGCATGCCCTGCAACACCGCCACACACTCACTCAAGATTCCTCAACGACGTGGAGCACGTGCTGAAGATCTGAAGAGCGCTGTCCAAGGCATGGGTGCTCTCGTGATGCAGCTTTGCTCCAGACATTCCGAACACACAGAGGAATGTGCAGCCCTGCAGAGGACAGATGCAACACATCTGGTTACAGTGCCTATGGCCAGCAGCTAATGCCGTTCCATTGCAGTCGCCAGGGAGACCAGTACAGCTGCAGGTCAACACAAAGCCACAGAGGACTGATCCCACCAGCAAGGCAGAGCTGCTCCTCAGTCCCTCTCCACTACACAGACACAGGCCACCCTCGGGGGGTGGGATTGCTCCCCCACGCTCACCTTATCAAACAGAAGGCTTTTGTTGATTTCGCCCTTGTGAGGACTGATGATTGTTGAAATCATCCTGGTGGCATCACAGAGGCCCCTCTGAAGATCCAGTATGTCGGCATTTGCAGAAAACCGCAGCTGGATAAAGAGGCTGGTGACTGGCCGTAGCTCAGACCACATGTGCAGCGGCATATCCACGTCCAGCTGGAAGTGAAGAGCATGACAGCTTTGCCAGCCTGTTCTCCCGGCGGTTCCTCTGGGCCCGTGCCACGTACCAAGGGAGATCGGGCATGTTGGCAATACCAGGTACTACTGGAGGAAGGGTAAGTCCTCTGCTCGGTGCCAATCGCAGGCCAGCCTGCGGCAGGCAGGTCATAGCAGAGTCATAGCACAAACGACAGAGGGGAATGTCCCAGCAACACTCCATCTTGTGGCAAGTACGGATGCGAGGGGCGACCCTCTGGCACGTCCCAGGGACTTGAGCAGACTCGCCCCCTTGTCCTCGCCTCGTGCCCACAGCACGTCCAGAGCAAGAGTCATGGAAAAGACAGAGGCAAGTCCACCTCCCACCACCCGTGCCTCTTTGAGGAGCAGCACGAAATGGGCAGTTGCCTGGCACATGCGGCACCACTAAGCCTGGCATCAGGTCCCCTGGGTTCCCTCCCCGGGGTGCTTTTTCTTCCATTTGCCTGTTTTCACGAGAGCTCCACCCATGCAACGCACACCTTCTTCTGCCCTCCCAAAATGAAGCCTCCAGCAGCAGTGGCCTTACCTTCCTGAGAGCAGCTTCTGGTATGTACTTCTGCATCTTTGCTGCCACTTTAGGATCATTGGACACGTGAAAAGGTGGCCTTTGGTGCCCTAAGGGAAGCAAATGCAGGCCTTCACTGGCAGGATGGGACTAGAAGCGGGTTGAAAGACGGGGCTGGCACTGGGCAAAGCAGAGCAAAGATTCTTTGGCGTTTCCTCCTGCTCCCCTCTGCAGCTGCTTGGCCAGAGCCGTGCCCTGGAAGGAGGGGATGGCAGCGACAGCCTCAGCTAAAGCACAGGAGGGACAAAGGCACGAACGCTGACTGAAAGGTGGAAGAGGGCAGGGGGAGTTCCTCCCTGGAACTCTGAAGCAGGCAGGCCCCATTTTTCCAGCCAGTCTCAGAACATGGTGAAGCAGGGACTCACTTATCCTTTCCAAACGCCGCATCTTCGCGTGTTGGTCAAACTGGCCTGCAGCATCTTGGCGTTCTGATCCAGACATGTGCTCCATCCTCTGAACCTGCAGACACGCAGAACAAAAGTACTGCCACTGGCCTCCCCAAGGAACCCCGGGAGACACAGCCTGCCCCTCCACTCTCACTTTCCAGAGAAGGGCAGAACCTCTTGGTGCAGCAAGCCCACCTCTCTGGCTTTTCAGCTGGGACAGAAGTGCCTCCTCAGAAGGACCAGAGCCACACAGGCATCACCCAAGCATGCCCCAGCTCTCCAGGACAGCTGCGCGACCCACGGGGGACATTGCTGGTGGGGCCCACACCCTTCCTGTGCTTCCCTCGGCCAGTCACACCAAGCAAGCACTACCCAGAGCTACCCCTGAGGTGGAAGGGCAACTGCTTCAGCTCTCTACCAACCCTTACAGCTACAACTCTCTCCACATCCAGTGCCTCAGCCTTCTAGCACCTGCCTCCTTCCCTCTCAGGTGCGGGTCTTCAGAGAGGCTCTAGAGGCCAACCCGTCCACCTACCTTCAGAACCCGTTTGCCACCAAGAAGCCTGGTCTGGATCTGTTCCTGCTCACACAGCTCCCAGCAGGTGGGTGAGACAATCACTTCACTTGTAACCACAAGGTTTTGGGCCTTCATAACTTCATCCAGGGCGTTGCTGCAGACGAAGTACTGCTGATGGTACCTGTCTCCAGCAGACAGTATGGTCATTTGCCCTGCGGAGATCCCTGGCGAGAGAGCAAGAAGCAGCATTGACACCGGGGAGCAGCAGCAGTCAGCAGCACTGGAGGGTGCCAGGGCTGTGCACGAAGCTGGAGATATTGTGCTGGTGCAGGAGCTTCAGGAAGCGGTTGATCTCCAGGTACATGATGGGCTCTCCCACCAGTGACAGCGCGCAGTGCTTTGCTGTCATTGCTTCCTCAAAACGATCTGCTTTTACTCCTGCCACTCCTGCAAAAAAGACGGAGAACTGGCATAAGTTGCATATAACCTCCCCCTGAACCATGCATCCATATCTAAAATATACCCTGTCACCAAGTAAAACCAGCTAGAGCCTTCCTGAACCAGAGAGAACACCAAGCCACAGACAGAGACCACCAAGACAGCTCTGCAGGAACCCAGAAAGCAGTGTATGGCCAGGCACACAAAATTCAGGGCTTTGTGTGCACAGTTAACTATTGCAAGTGATTCTTCTTAGTAACGTTTGAGTCAAACTTTCCCTTGCTAAGACCTCAGTGATGCTGCCTGAATGCTGAGACAAGCACCAGAGCAAGTTCAATTCCACTTCAAGTTGGCATTTAAAAAACAAATAGGTTCTGTTTCTCTCCAATGCTAACCACAGACTGTGTTCCAGCCCCACAAGAACAAGCTCCTCAGTGAGGTGGGCCTGGCTCCTTCGAGCAGAGCCACAACCACCAGGTCTGAATCAGCATCAGCCACCATGTGCAATGCAACCCAACAGAGGACATGCTCAAAAGAAACCTCAACACATGACACTGTCTTGAACAGTGAGAGCAGTTCCAGAACAAAGACAGAAAAGCGAGGAACTCAACTGCAGCATCCACGTGAAAATACCATCTGCAGGTTTAACTGACCCGAGTCACATTTACTGCACCCACAGGAGGGCAGGAGAGAGATGAGCACTGCTCCTGCCCATCCATACCTGACTAAGTGCTCAGCACCCCGCATGAAGCCATCTGACTACAAACAAGCTTTTGTTCCAAATGTGTCACTTCACATTTCCTTGATGTGCCTTGATGTACTTGAATAATATCTGAGGTTTCAGATTGGGGGTTGGTCTGTTTCAAAAAACAAAGACTTAAGTTTGAAACCAGGTCCTCAGCTCACCTCCCGTTGCCTAGACGCTGGAGCTCAAGCAGTACAGAAAATTACATGCTATGCTGCAAAGCCAAGATAAAAAGAGGTGTTCGTGGATATCGCTTCAGCCTCACGTAGAAAAGCTGGTTTGTGATCAGAGTGAAGCTTAGTGCATTTTAAACCAGCCAGGCTCTGTCCTGAATAGGTGACAGGACTAATGGTTACTCTGCAGAAACTTGACAGCGCTAAATGAGAACTTTATTTGAAAAGAAAGGAGCATCTCAACCACACACGGAGATTAAAGGACTTAACTTTTGTTTTCCTAAAGCTACTTTAGGTCATTTTGGGAATTAATTTCTCTCTCAGTATCTTGCAATTGGACTACAGTAATTACACTGCCAGATTTATAAGCAGACAGAAGAAAGTGCCAACATCACGAAGTTCGAGAGTAACTTTCTCAAAATGGTTTACATCAAACCTGGCATACAGTAAATACACTCCCAGAGGAGAGTAGAGGTTTTATATGTGATCATTTGACCACATAAATCATGAGCTAGACAGAAGTAAACTAAACAGGATTAGTGGGTACTCCAAGGAGTATATGAATGCTGCTGTACGTGTGGCTGCCCTACCACTCCAGCGCTCGGCCTCTGCCCCTGCAGATGAGCCCCCTTCTGTCTTCAGCCAGCAATGGACTTCAACAAAGGCAGAGTTCGGGCAGATGCCACATGGCATGCGGCAAGTCCCACACAGGTGCAGGAGCTGGGAGCCACAGGAGCTTGAGATGCCTCTGCAAGAGCGATGCACAGCTTCCAGCTCAGATCTCAGCGGAGCGTGCAGCCAAGCCACCTCTGAGCTGCAGATCTCCTTTGAAAAGCTGACTCCAGCTGCTCTCCTACTGACACACTTCAATTTCAGAAAGGAAAGCATCATCTGGCACGTCACCCTGTTCAGGCTGGCTGCCGGCTTCGTGCATCCCTCTGCAAGTACCTGTGCTACTGCCTGGGGTGCAAGGAGCACATTTTATGCATGCTTACATCAAGACACACAGGTCTTCCCAGATCTCATTTTAAGACCTGTGTTTTGAGTGATTCCCACAAAGCTGCTCCCTGTAAGCTGGCAGGATTTCCTAGTTTAGGTCATGTGCTTATTTGTTCATTTTTCCCCCAAGCTAAACAAGGGCTCTATTAGAGACACCCACTCTTATTTTTTGAATTATGTTTCCATTCTGTGCGTGCCCTTCACAAGGGCACTGAGATTTACTAGTCACCACCTAGAAAAGGTATCCATCAAATAAACTGCTTCATACCTTCCCACCTCAGCTCCCTATCAGGAAGATGTGTCTCCATAAGTTACTCTAAGAGAGAATTATGTGACATTAATTAACATCTCTAGTCTTCAAAACCTGTACACACTATGGCAACATTAAAAGAGGGAAGAAGGTATCTTTAAAAGCATGCAGAGGGACTCTTGCAGAATGAAGAGCTATCCTCTAGGATACATTATAGGAGAGAGGGTCTGCAAATATTTTTTGTTCTTTCAGGGAACATTTTATTTTTACTACAATGTGTGCAGATAACAACGCAACACAATAAGTCTCCTCTCCCTTTGGTGCACAGAGATGTCTGTACCAGAATGCAAAGCTGTGGTACTGGTACTACGAAGAGTACAAATTTATTCAAATGTTATCTGAACAACATTACCAGACTCAAGAGCCATGAAGACGAAGACATTTTCCCCATGCTTTTCTTCTCCAGCAGCTCAAATTCTCTGCTCTACACTGGGATCAGCATTCAAACTCCTTGGCAGCACCCAGCTGGAAACTTGACCGGTGTCATTGGAGCAGCCCACGGAGCCCAGCTGCAATCCATCTTCCCTCTACACTCTCTCCCTCTTCAACAACGCAATCTAGTCCATCACTCTGCTAAAACATACATGTATTACCTATTTATCTTAAAATCAATCATTGTAAAATCCAACCCAGTATTTGCGTTGCGCCGCTGGGTTTGCTGGAAGCAGTGGTGTCTTCTGCCTGAGCCACCTCCAGCCCAGATGGAGCACAGCTCTGGCAGGCGCACAGGGGGTTCCCCGTGGGTTCCCCCTGGGTTCAGGGCAACACTTCTAATCAATTTTGCTCTGACATGGTTCTATTCTAGCCATTTTTCACCTGCACCTCAGGGAAACAGTGTAAAATTCACAAAATGTAACAGCTAGCTACTGGTCTTAATTTTTTCCTGTTTT